GGGGGGGGGGGGGGGGGGGAATTCTGTTAGAATCATGTTGTTAATAAGTCAGTAGAGAAATACAGGGGGCATTCAGCTATCTCTGGATAGGAGCCATAGGTTCTGGTTGTTTTTCACTTGCTGTTAGAGCTCTGTTAGCTCCTTTCTCTTATTGAATAATAGTAATATGACTATGCTAGAATCCTTTCTGGGATTTCTATCAAAGTTGTACATAAGCTCTTCCAAACCAGCCTTAATCCATTTTCTCATTGGAGCTTCTGTTGGTCATATGACCAAGCCACAACAGTGGAGTGTGACAATAGTAATAAAAGCATTCGGGAGAAGCCAAGAGCTGCTCCACTACACTATGGCACTTAAAGCAACCAACACAACTGAGATTAACATGCTGAACCTTAAGGCAATCAATTTCAAGGAAATGGACCATTTAAAGAGTTTGTAATCGAAGGGTTAATATTTCATTTGGTTTAATCATGCACTAATTTTAAGATATATTGATAGAGTAGGCAAAAAAATTTAGTACTATAAAATTTAATGAGCATGATGATGTAACTTTCAATATAATGGTGGATTTTGAGAAACATTCACCCTACAAAAGAATATTTCTTGGTGCAAGATTCATTTAAATTACAATGCTGTCAACACCAGCACTAATTTAGGTATTCTATGGAAGTATGGAAATAAAAGAGACATTAATACCTGAGACTCTGCAATGGTTAGAACCATCGGTAAAATCATCGGCTGAATCACCACATTCCTAAGTTCAGCACAAAGTGGTGGAAGGACCTGTATGAAATTTTGTTTGTCCAAATTACATTCATGACAATAGTGGAAAAAATAACTTCAAATTCAAGAGAATTCAGTGTAAAGAAGCAATAACATTTAAACACATTTGGGAAAAACATCATAAATCAGTTTAACACATGCATCATAAGTTCAAAATCCATTCAAGATTGAGAGACCATATAGGGCACAAGACTAAGTAATTTACAGGGCAAGAGTATACTAAATTATAAATGCTAGCAAGAGTATTCATATTATGTATGATGGGAGAGAGACCTGACAAAAAATTGACTAGTAGAAGTGAAAACACATAAATTTCATAGCCAAACAGCATATAGAGAATACCTTGTATCGCAATACACGGGAATCAAAATCCTTCCACATATCTGACAATGCTTTTAAGAACTCTGATTTCTGCATGTTATCTCTTGCCTGAAGTTAAAAAATAATTTAAAAAAAAAACACAAAGATCATCAAGAACTTCAACTCTGCAATTTGCTGTTATCCATTTTTTGATGCTAACAAGATAAACTAAAAAATCTTACAAGCATGTGGTCGAGAAAGCGTAGAGCACGCAACCTAGTGTCTTGCCGAAAAAATGGTGAGCCTGCAAAAATGAGAAGCATATATCCAGTTAAAATTATGATGATAACAATGGTGATAAAGCCAAGAAATACAGCAATGGAACTACTTAGTAATATTATGTTCAGTAGACCATATGAAGCCCCCATCAACCAGATGAGACATTATCAATTACAATGTTCGATGGTAACAGTTTGAGTTACTTAATCCTGAAGAATTCCACATGCAATACTAGTCAAATCTTCTACTACACCAACACCCCAAATGGGTTAATGATTTGTCATGTTAGTTTTACATAGTCAAACTTAAACAACGATGCCATTTTGAGAGTCACCCTTGGAACTTGAAAAATTAAAAGTTCTTAATAAGTTTATAAACAGGAGTTTTTATCTCATCAATTGTCATGATCCTTTTCATTTTTGACAAAAATACTGCAGCTGCAGTTGTTAGGTGAGTCTGCAGTTCATCAAAAGATCTTGAATGTTATTTAAGGAGATTTGCAGCCATTTTCCATTAATCAAGTTATGTTTACCTAATTTCTGAATACATAATAACTAATAAGAGTATAGTGTAGGTTGAAAGGAGAAAAAAGCAAGAAAGGAGGATCTCAACAATATTCTGAATTATTGATACCATAATTATAATCCCTAATAACGGTACAGAATGATCAGCCTAAAAATTCTATAGCAGTTAGCAGGAAAGGATACTGTCAAACTACAGAACCAGAGTCCAAGAATCATATAATGGAACTCTGTCTCTAATGGAACTCTGTCTCTTTCCCTGATATTTGAGAGACCTGGTTCCCTCCCCAAATTCCTATCCCAAGTCTGAAATCTGCTCCTTATTATTCCCCTCCCTTTCTTTATACACATTGTCCACCATTTTAACTAACTGTTAATAGCTGCCAACTTATAAAGTCTATTATAACTAACTGCTGACATTTGGGTTGGGTATCTAATATCATTCCCCTAAAATGTTTTCATCTTGTCCTTAAGGTGAATTTCAGGGAAAAGAAGAAAAAAATTGTCCTTTACCCATGATCTTGCAGCAACCCATCACACTGTCCTTCCTCTTGCCATTCCTCTATCAACATTAATTAAAATTTCTCACTCTAGCATGTGTTAAGGATAGTACTTTTCACCCACCTGAAACACAAACGTCTTCTTTCTTGCAATTAATTTTCTAATTGGTTGCCTTTCGAGTGTTCTTACTTCTTACCATGCTGCCAAAAATCCCATTGGTCTACTAGTTGAAGAATCCATCACTATCCTAAATTCAAACACCTGCTATGAATTGCCAATCGAGGTAGCCAACTTAAGAGTCATCTATTGAGAAATGTAGAACCATTCACTTGATGCCACATGACTAGATAAAGACCTTCCTCATCAGACGAAATTATAATCAATGAACACCTATTAAAATTTAATTTACAAGAAACTATGCAAGAAAACTATTTAACTGATTTGATGACATGTCTGTTTTTATTTTTCATTTAGGAAATGGAGAAAATGTATTGGTTCTCCAAGCTATCTTTACCTGTAAAATCCATTGCTGTTGGCCTAGAAGTTTCACTTGATGAAAGCATTCTTTGCAAGTCAGGAACTAGCTCTGGTGGGATAGATGAGAATGCGTCACTGGATAAGTAAGTCAAGGTATTCATGTACTGCAGAGGTACAAAACCAAAATTTCTTATTACCTTCTAAGAATAAAATAATAAAGCCTTCATTGTTGTTGTCAAGTAATGAAACTAACCATTTTCCTTCTTACTATTTAAATACATAAAAAAGCATTTTTAATAAATGAAAGAGAGAGCAATTTTTTTTTTTCAAGGTAACTTGCATACAACTATGCTGGTGGCATCTAGTGAAATTTATTCAATCATAAACAAAAATATATTCTCTCTTTTACAGACAAGACACATGCAACCATCACAATGATTACATATTGAAATTGACACACTTAAAATACAAATTACTAGTGATATGTCGCCAAGTAACAGAAGCTTGGGGGGAACTCAACTCTACATGGAAACACCACATTTAAACTGGGCCAAATTTTGCTGGCTTAGATTTCTTTTCCAGATATCAAGCTCATTTGTTTCAGATACCACTACCAGTCACTGAAAAAGGTTAAAAAAAAAAAACATTTGTATATACCATTTTCACATTGTTGTGGCAGTCAAACAAAGGCTTCCGGGCAATTAAATGGTAGGCAAGGCATCCAAAACTGAAAATATCAGATGAGCACCCAGCTGAAGATGCAGTGCTCCTCACCAACTCAGGAGCAGTGTAATTAAGTGATGGCTGAAGTGGCAAGACAGAGTCCTCAACATCATATTCCTGTACAGTAGTTGTAGTGAAATAAGATACAGGTCATTTAAGGAAAACTTAATATGCTCCTGAGAATAAGAATAAGATACAGATATTAAATAGTATACTTTGTCATTTAGAAATGATAACTTTATTTGGTCTTCTTATAAATCATAGTTTAGACACAGATATTACAAACATAATCAAGAAAAATCATGCCACAATTCAAAACCATACATAATCATGTACCAAGAAGAATAATAACCCAGGTATGATTACAAAATGCAAAGATTTCTAAGGTTACTGGAAGCATAAATTTGTGCCTAAGAATAACTAAAGAAAGAAAATATTGAGATCCTGATCAAGAAACGTATTATATATACCTGCATCATACAAGGTTATATGATTGGTGATATAGCACTGACTTGATCTGACAGATATAAATATAAATATATACACACACACATACAGTGAGCAAATATATTAAAGAAAAGAAAAATAGGCATCAATATACAACAGTAAATTAATGGAAATATTATAGTATTTAACACATCGAAGACGTGAAGTGAACAGAGATAATGCAGTAATTCCTAATCTTATCAACTGTTCCACTCACAGAATAATGGAAGGGTTGCAGATTAGATGAGTCACCAGGGGTCTGACTAGAAATTGCAAAACCAAATCCAGCAAGTTTCCAGGCTCCACTCAGGGTAATAAGAATGTTCTGCAAAGTATAATATTTGTATTTAATAAGTCAATCCTAAATTTCAGTGGTGGTCAGGTGGAACAGAAAAAAATTAGTGCAACATGTTAACTGTGAACCCAAAAAGTAATCCGCATCAACTGTGATCGGTGGAAAATAACACTTGGCCAACATTTCAAAGAGCAAAAAATATATTTAAGATCATAAAAAAAAAAAATCAAAAGTAATTAATTGCTACATACTATTTGTAGTTAGATGCAAAAGATATTTAAAACCTTGAGTGGAAGTAATGCAAGAGATTATGACCTCAGGTGATATAGCTCGATGAATAAGATGAGCATGGTTGTGGAGAAAGTCGAGGGATTCTGCTATCTGAAGTAAGCCATGCTTCACCTCCAACAGACCCATTTCCTGCAAAGCATAAGCATAGGCATTTTCATCCAGTGGAACTAGTAGATCACGCAAGAAAAGAGGGAATGGGATTGAAATAGGGTACCATTCCCCTGAGATCTTTGGGAAGATGAGGAATATTGTCAACAATGCCAAGAGTATTAGCGGCGGAAGCGAACAAGGGTTCGGTGACCATTGCCATCGCGTGCTTGCTCTCGTCGAGGGCCTGGACAACGTGAACGACACCGGGATGCCTGAGGCGCACGAGCTTGGCGGCGTCGGTGCGAATCAAATCTAAGAAGGAATCCTCGGCGGCCTTGGTGAGGCCCGCGCGCATTCGGGCCTCGGAAAGAGGGCGCTTGTCCAGCACCCACACGCACACGACGGGGTATTGGTGCTGCCGCGAGGGATCACGGGCCCTGCCCGAGTACAGCCTCCAGGCGAGCCCGGGCCCGGCGGACCCGATCTGTTGGAGCAGCTCGTATTCCTGAAGTGCCCTCGGGCCCGTCACCTCCTGCACCGTCGTCTGCACTGTCTTCTCGATCACCGCCGCGGTCTTCGCCAATGCTTGGGTTAGGGTTTTCATATTCAGCGACATTTTCTCCTTCCTGCTCTGCACCTATTTTATGTATAATAATAATAATAATTATTATTATAGTTATACACTTGAATCGATCAACGTCACGGGCTCACGGCACAGCGCCCTTGAATTGAATTGAGACTTTGAAGATGGATCGCGGCAAGGCAAATTCCACTTCTCCGTCTCTCTCTTCTCTTTTTCTCTCTTATTCTTTTTCTCTTTCTCCTGTCTTATAAGTCATCTTCTTTGCCCCTCATCTTGCTTCCTCGTTTGTTTTTAGTCAAATTTGTCCCCCTTTCAATATTTCTTCCGCAAGACAAAGCTTTCATTATTTATTACTATTACTATTATTATTATTATTTGTTTATCAATATGTTATATTCTATTATTATTACTATTTTGTTTATCAATATGTTATTGTAATTAATATTATATCTCTTATAAAATAAAATTATTCAAGTAATTCTAGTAATATTTTATAAAAAAAATAACTAAAAATTAAAAAAATACTAAAATAAAAATAATAAATCAATAACACTTTCGGGTAAAAAAAAACTTTTAATCTAAAAAAACGGAATTCGAATTTATTCTTAAAAGTTTGTTATCTTAGTTAAAAAAACCTTTTATAAATGTGTGCTTTAATGATATGTACATAATATATGACACGAGATAGTAATTAACAAATGAGCAGTGCTTCATCTTAAAAAAAATGTCAGAATACGTTCTAAAAGATTAAAATATTATTATTTTATAATAAATTTATTATAAAATAACTATTTAATTTAATATTTTATAATTTAAATTAATATTTTATTTTTTTTGGAATGATTTTCAAAATCCTTTTCGGAGGATCTATCATTTTTCTTAACAAATTCAATTTTTTTTAATTATCAATTGTCACAAAAGAATCACTCTAGATATATAAATTAGAAAAATTGTTTGTTTTTAAATATTTCACTCTCGCGCATTTATGTTCACTAACATATTCACCCATGTGTCGTATGATAACATTTACATGTCTTAGTTGTGAATATTTGAAAAGATTTTATAAGTATAATTTATTTATAAAGGGATTAAATTGTTAAAACTATATAAGGATTATTAATATTTATGAAATAAAAATCAGTTCTGAAATAAGTTTAAAAAGTACTCCAACAATCTTTTATATAATAAACATAGAGATACTTTTTTTAAAAATCTTGATTATAAGAAAGAAAAATTTACTTTTATGATATATTATATGATATATTAATAGTTAATTTCCTTTTATGTGTTGATAGATATATTTATTGATCTATTAATAATATAAATTATTCATTAGTGAAAAGGTAATTTTTTTTTAAAAATGTAATTATATCGGTGTAACTATTACTAAGTATTATGCCGCTCAATAGCTTTATATTAAATATGAATTTTGTAAATCCAACCGTTAAATTGAAAGTTCATACCACTTTATACGTGTATATCAAATTTTGTTAAAATTGAACAACAACTGGAAGGTAATCAAAGTATTCATATTTCAGTGTATTTTGAAATGAATATATTACATCAATTTTGTTTTATAAAAATGAAGTATCAAATCATCTTGGATTAATATAAAATTTTGTATATATAATCTAAGAGATATGAACTTTCAATCTAACGGTTGAATTTACCAAATTCACATTTAATATAACGTTATTAAGTGATGTGCTTCCACTTGGATGCACATGGATGTTTCAATCCTTCACGGAATTCCTTGGAGAAACTTCAAGGAATGGAGACGCCACAAAGGATCAAGGTGACCTAAGCTTGCTTCAAGCTAAGTCTAAAGAAGAATGGTGTCCTAGCTCTACAAGGAGAAACTCTCAAGTAGGGTAGAAGCTAGGAGTAAGGTGACTTCGGAGAAGGAGAATTCTATGTGAGAAATACTCATTCAATATAATCCAAAGTGAATACAATGCTCGGCCATAAGGAATATATAGGGTAAAATTAGGTCAAATGGTTCCTTGGGTTAGCCTAAGGTTAAGTAAAACCATGGTATGGTTACTTAACCTTAGGCGCCTAAAATTTGAATTCAAAATTCAAATTTTAGGAGCCAAACCCGGAACCTCCATGTGCTCCATCATTTGGCATGTAATTTAGCTTCTCATTTGAGTTGCATTTAAGTCACACCATGTGCATGTGTGCACATGGCCGAAATGCCTCTCAAATGCCAAGTTAATTACATGCTAATGATAATTCACATGTAACCTTAATTAACCCTAAATTCTAATGACCTCTAAATGAAATTCCTATGCTACATGGCCGGAAATACAAGGCCCAAAAGAAATACAAGGCACTAAGGCCCAATCCTACACTAACCCTAATCTAATGGGCTTGAGACAAAGCCCAACAAAATAAAGTGGCGGGCCTTCCTTGGGCTTGGGCCCACTCTTCATGCATCATCCTTGCCATAGCCCTAGTAGTTGGGCCCTTAGCCCATGGGCCTCCTCCATCAT